GTCTGCCACGCCATGTGGTCACCTCCGGGGCAGGCGGGAATCGAACTCATGAGGAGGTGGCTTTAGCTTCTCAGTGCAGTGCTTTAACCCGCTGCGCCACCAGGGAGGGCCCGAAACATTGATTTTTTTTTTATGTGAAAATCGTTTTTCTTATTCTAAAATCACACTGTGTATCATTTAAATGAACCTCACAAGCTAAAAGTACAAATTACAACTTTATTTTTTATCAGTAACCCAGAAAATGAGTTTACATTACAATCAAACATTGTACAGAAATCGGCTTCCAAGATATTTGATTCAATTTTCAGCTATAACAATGAAATTAGGAAGAACCCAAGAATAAAGAGCAGGAAATTTTGTGTTTTTTCAGTGGTCCTTCCATATTAAAATTTGTATGTGTGTATGTGTTTAAAAAAAAATTGTGTGTGTTTTATGCTGATGCTTCTGTTAATTCTAAGTGTAATGCGTTGAAAATGTCTAATATCATTATGATGAATGACTGTAGAGAGGCAAAAATGGTTTTCGAGGAGACTGCATAATCTTCTCAAAATTAAAAGAAGAAAATCCAGGTAATTCATGCTTTTTTCTACCTAATATATCTGGTATAATTTTTATAGTATTCTGAGTGTGCCAATAGAAACCTACTTGTATGTAGTAGTATTGCTGACATGCTTTTTTAGTACATAAAAAATAAGTATAGAGATTAACTTTTTTTTTTTTAATAAGCTATTGATATATCTGGTACTCTCTGTCTTACCTACAAAAAAACTCTAAATAATGTCCTTATCCATTAGTGGAAGACAGAGGGCTTGTTAGCAAGGAGATGCAAACAAAGTAACTATTTATATCATAATCTTGGAATTCTGTATTTGGACTCTTATCTAAGAGGAATATGTTCTTATTTATCATTTAACATTCATATTTATTCTGTTTTCTTAGTAATTTGCCATTGCTTAATCCTTATTTTCATACAAAAGTTGGGGTTTCTCAATCCCTTTAGAGAAATAAGGTTTGTGAAAACGCATTAATGATTTCATCTCATCCATCCTTAAGCACCTTTGTGTCATTCTAATAAATATTTTTCCTCTCAATAAATTATTCATTATCCTAAAATATTGGAAGTTGCAGAAAATAGAGCCTATTATAATACCTAAACATTCTAGACAAAGTTCCCTTGAAAGGACAATATTACATAACATATAAACTTTCAGCTATTTAGATAAATAGTCCCTATGTTATATGAATAATTAATCATTTGACTAAAGTCTGATGTAAGGAAATACTTAAAATAAACAAAGGATTGTAAAATATATTACAGTTTAAATTAAAAAGAGAGAAAAGAGG